GGCTGGCCCGACTGTATGGGCGCCCAGCTCCGAATTACTCGGTCGGCGATGGCCATTGATGATTGGCATGTTTGGATTCGACATCTTCACCATCGCTTGCGCGACTGCCAAAGATACGCAAACCGTCATGCTGACCCGCTTTTTCTCGGGATTCTTTGCGGCCAGCGTCATCGCCCTGGTCCCTGCCAGTCTTTCCGATCTCTTCAACAATGAACAACGAGGAATCGCGATTGCCATGTATACAATGTCCGTCTTCACGGGACCATTCACGGCCCCGTTTATCGGCGGTTTCATTACCGAGAGCTATCTCGGCTGGCGCTGGACCCTCTATCTGCCGGCCATCGTCGGGTTCTTCAGTCTGCTATTGATGATAATTTTCTGCGAAGAGACATACGCCCCTGTTATTCTCGTACAGAAGGCAGCTATTCTCAGGCGCCAAACTCGGAACTGGGGCATCCACGCACGCCAGGCTGAATTGGAAATCGACCTGAAGGAGTTAGTGACGAAGAATCTGGCCCGCCCGTTCTTGATTCTCTTCACCGAACCGATTGCCTTCTTGCTCACTTTGTATATGTCTTTTATTTATGGATTAGCATATGCCTTGCTCGAAGCATACCCGATTGTGTTTTCCGGCACTTACGGTATGACTGGAGGTGTGGCCGGTTTACCCTTCATTGGCCTGATTATCGGAGAGATATCCGGCAGTGCTTTTGTCTTATCCATGCAAGGCTCGTATACTCGCAAGCTGAGGGCCAACAACAATGTACCCGTTCCCGAATGGCGGTTGCTGCCATGTATTGTTGGTGGTGTGGCGTTTGCAGGGGGCTTGTTCTGGTAAGCATCGTCGTCTCATCGTGGTTGATCGCGTGCTGACAGGTCCCGCAGGTTCGGCTGGACAGGCTGGAGAAGTACGATTCACTGGATGGCACCTACCGCCGCCGGCGTCATGGTCGGCTTTGGAATCACCTCAATCTTCATGCAGGGATTCAACTACTTGCTGGACTCGTATTTGCAGTTGTAAGTCAACCTCCGAGCTCGCTTCCGTTGAACATATTCACTAAACCATTGCAGTGCTGCGTCGGCTTTCGCAGCCAATACCATGATGCGGTCCATGGTCGGGGCAGTCTTTCCCCTCTTCACGGAGCAAATGTTCCATAATCTAGGAATTCAATGGGCTGGTACCTTGCTTGGGTGCATTGCTGTGGTGATGATTCCGATTCCTATACTCTTCTACGTGTACGGCCCACGTCTACGAAGGAAGAGTAAGCTGGCGCCGCTTGTCGAGCCAGCGGAACAATTGAAAGAGGCATAGAGTAGATGGAATGTGAATGTGCAAACTCAATTAGATTAATAGACCTCTTGTGCAGCAGTGGACTGCCAACCCAGCCACACCAGATACTCACCAGCGAACGATGCGTATCAACTCAACAACGACTGGACCGTGCATCACATTGAAGAAAGAATGATGGAACTCCACACTATTCGGAAATCCAACTATTATTTTTGCCACTTCCATCAGACAAAATTTGTCGTTGCTATGTAGGGGCTATTTCTCAAACCTTAACCGTCGGCCATCACCGGGGTCAAAGACATCAGGTCTGTCTTTCCTTTTGCAGGAGATGAAGAAATGATTGAAACTTTGATCCACAATGGCTGCACAGATTTCATCCTTCACGACATGGCGTGGATACGATTACTCGAGACTGCGAGATTCAGGCTTGGGCCAGAGAATACTCTGCCTTCAACGAAAGAATCAACATCCAAGGCTCAGCAAAGGAGCCATGCTGGGATGCGGGGTATGAGAGACCAAGTCGAGACAGTAGTCGTTGGGCAATGCTTTACTCTCTACGACCGCCGTAAACAATATCCTCGTACCAACACTCTATGCCCAGGCTCCATCCTCCAAGTCACCAAATCAAATGGAAAGCAGAAAGGACCCCGTTTGAGTGGCTTCTACAGATCCTTCCCAACCTCGCATCCTCGAAGGGAACGGAAACTCGCTCTCATTCTTCTTCCCGTCCCACAGCGACCCCAGCGCAGAGCAGGCAACACGGCACATCAACAAAACACGGAGTCCTCCTATCGACAAATGGGAGCTTCGCACATTCTGTAAGAGCTTTAATTAGTGGTGAGCTAGTACGGTCAACATCCGATCGAGTTCGTTTCGGCAGCATGCGCTTGCAATGTTTCCAAAACAATGGGTTTGTTCACAAACGGAAACATTCCTGCCTCCACGAGACACTCCTGAGTCAGCCCCAAAAGCTAGTTCTAGAGAGAACGCCAGATCAATTGCGTTCAGTGGTGGCCGGCTTGCTACGGACAACAAGCACTGCTACAAGAAGCATGTTACACAGGTTGGCTACACCACCATTCCACTGGGTTGAGAGCGGCCACGGGATTTACTTATATGGGCCGGAGTCCCTGTCGAGAGTTTTCCAGCCACTTCGCCAGTCGACCTCGCTGGTTGCATTGGGGCATTGCTTGGATGAATCGCTTGGTTGAATCAGAGTGATCTCACGTTTACGAACTGCACGAGCGGACTTGATGATATTTTATGAACTCGAAAGCTTCGTACGAACTCCAGTTAGGTTCTGATGGACGGTGATGGGCCCACTGACCAGATTTCGAGACCTCGATGATTCTCAGAACCTTTGTGATTGACGGCATGATCATAAACATTCTGTGTCCGCTTTTCAGCGTGCGGGAAGCCAGCTTTAGCTGTGTAAGAGAAATTATTGCTTGTCGCCCACCCCAAAGACAAGATCTCATAGTAACTAGATTCACACAGCAACGCCATTTAAGAAATCAGCTTCCCAGGAACCTCTGATTCACTGCGGAGCCGGTCCGAATGAGCCCCTTGCGAGTACTGTACGTACCGGACATTTAGTCCACCAATCAGAAAAGAGGAATGATTGCACTCAGGTACCATCGGCACCAGCATTTCCTGTGCAACGTGAGATACATTTGTTGCGGTGGTGAGCCCCTGCGTTCCGGGGACATTCCAGGGGGAGGATGGGATGATGGGACCGGGGCGGAAACCAGATCCCAGATCCGCTGCGGTCTTACGGGATCAACCTTCACCTAACCAGATTGGTGGCAATTCGGCCACAACGGAGACGGTTGCATCGAAGAGGTGTTGCTGTGGCGCTTGTGTCTCGAGGTTCTGGCAATGACAGACAGAAGATTGCATCGATGCAGAGTTTCCACCTCCGATCTCCGGGTCATGTGTCAATCTGCCTGTCGAACGGTGGCTGCAAGCAATGTTGGGTACCGCAACGGCCGCCTGCCCATGGGCAATCATAGCCATTACCCAGGCATCCTCCTCTAGCCGTGATCGCTAAGATCACTAATCACCAAGAGCAACCCGAGGCAGCGGACCTGGTCAACTAGTCCCATACCAAGCTCTATCCCTCTCGGGAGCCGGCGATCGTCCGTTTGGGGCCGTGCCCAGCATTCCTGATATCGAGGCGGCTGGGAACCGCAGACGGCGCAGGCTGGAGGGAGGGCTGTCGGACTTACAGTGCCATATATTGCGCCAGTCCTTAGGGTTCCGGTGGTTCTGAACTCTATCAGCGATTCACTTTCATCTTCCGGGACGGTGCATGTGAGGAAGCTTGGCGACCAAACCCCGATGTTCCAGCGGGCAACACATCTCGACACCAACAACTCTCAACGTCAACTACATCGAACATGAGCTCCCTTCGCTCCCTCCTGCCGGTCATCGGCTCTTTCACCGCGTTTCTTTTGGGAATTCTGTGTCTATTCGCCGGTAGTCAACGCCAGTTTCTCCCGCAGGGCAATCTCTTGACGGTATGTGATTGACAGTCCTAGCAACGAGGAACAAATCCACTAACATGGTATCTTGTAGCTGTACACTAGCGGCGCCGGCGGCGATGGCGCTCCAGACTTCTTCACCATCTATCCCATGTCCTACTGCGTCGGCTACCAGGAGACCTGCGTGATCGACGAGAAGACCAACACCACGACCATCCAGGACCGCATCACCGAGTGCTCGGACCGCAGTGTCCTGTTCGAGTTCAACCCGGGCGACGCCATCCAGCAAGCGCTGGGCAACCCGCCGACCGGCCTCCAGCCCGGCAGCTGGCCTTCCTGTATCACCGATGACTTCCACGCCTTGAAGCCCACTAATACTACCATGGTGCTGTTCCTGATCTTCGGCACTGTTGCGGCAATTGTGGCCATCGCCCTCCGTATCTGGATGATTGCGTCCGCCCGCGCCTCGCGACCGGATTACGCCTCCCAGCCTCCACGCTACCCCGGCACGGGGACGGAACTGGAGATACCCCCGACAAGTGTGGAGTTCTATGCTTTCCTGGTAAGTCCCTGTCTTCGATCGAGGTTTATGTCGGACGAAGTCTCATGACGAGTAGATCAGCGTCTTCAGCTTCGGCATCGCCGCGACTATTGCGAGTGTCATCGCCCAAGAGTTTGTGGACCTGATCAGTGAAACCGGCAGCGAGAAGGGGATCTCGGCGGTCGGGGGCAACACGTTCCAGGGGATGATCTGGACGGCGGTGGTGTTGCAGTTGTTGGGGACGTTGCATGACTATATTGCGATTGTGACCTATCGGAGGGCTATCAGCGAGGAGTATGGATCGCCGTCGTCGCCGCAGGGAGAGCAGTGCTCGGAGCAGAAGCGGCTGGTGGTGGTGGAGGAGGATGATTGCTGAGTGGGTGGTTGCTTTCGTTATTGGCGTTGCATTTCTGGCGTTGGGTGGGAGGATGATGACAATGGTATAACGCGGCAGAGATAGCTTTTGTGATTGGTTGTTGCTTTGATGTTGTACTCATGATACTCAATGCTGCTGTTGTTGAGCATCCTCGCTACTTTGATCTTTATGATACTCTAATCTACGCAGGAAGCCCAGTCTTCTCCAGCCGAGTATTTCTTCCCTAGCGGGTATGATGTCAAGCACAGGGAACAGAGGAGACCAACGTGTGACTTGATTCTTTACTTCATATCTCGCAGTCTAGTGAGTATAAAATACAGCAAAACTACCCTGCCCTAACATCCGCCCCCCACTATCGAGTCGCATCGCCAAATGCCGGCACACTGGCCACCTCCTCCAACAACCACCGCAAGCCCTTTATCCCCCGCTCTGCATGCACCGTGGGCACCGAGGCATCCTTCTCGCTCAACGAGTGATTAAATACCTCCAACGACACCGGCCCCGCATACCCCGTCTCCAACACAGCAGCAGCGACCACCTCCACCGGCAGATAAGCGCCCCTATCCTTCTCCCCAGGGAACAAGCGATACCCCCTGGACCACGGCAACAGCCGCGGCGTATCGCCCTTGACATCCCAAGCCCTCACCTCCTCCACCCCAACCCTCACCGCATCGCCCACCTGAAAGAAAAAGATCTTCTCCGCCGGCACGCACCTTACCAAGTCCCGCATCGATTCCCGTAAAACCTCCCGCGCCACCTTCAAATCACCATAGACTCTCCCCGACCCATCCTGCGCATAGGGATCCGCCCACTCGACCGCTAACACATTGAACGCGTCCACGATCAACCCCACATTCGCGCGGTTGGCAGCCTGCACTGCCTCCCACGAACTGGCCCAGGTATTCCGGCGCGCCCAGCTGAGCCCCTCGTACCCGATCCGGAGCATCGGTCCCCCGTCGGCCTCGGAGAAGGCGCGCGCCATATCGCCCAGTTCGGCGAGGTCCTGCGCCACCGTGGCGAGGTCGGCGGTGACGCCCGAGTCCGTCCGGATGTTGGCGCACATGAACACGAGATCCGTCCCGAAGGCCCGCATGAATGGGAACCGCGCGGCGACGGAGTCGAGTGCTGCGCGTCGGGCGGCGGGGTCGAGGATCCCCTCGATCTGGCGGCAGGGCTGCGTGCAGGCGACCTTGAGGGAGAGGGATGCTGCGAGGGCGCCGAGTTGCGTCGCGATGCGCAGGGTTTCTGGGGTGGAGGTCCAGGGGGTGGGTGGCGGGGCAAGGGCGGGGGAGTGGTGCGCGGTCAGGTAGGCGGCCCAGTCGTCGTCGAAGAGGTCGATGTGGGTGTACCCTGCGGCGGCGGCGGCATGCAGCCGGGTTTCAAGGGTGTGGTGGGCTGCGTTGCCTAGGCTGAGCGTGGCGATGCCTAGGGGGTTTGAGGGGGTGGTCTGGGTCATGGTGGTTGTGTTTATGTGTGTGGGAGGGGTATTGGGTGCGGTTGAGGGGGAGAGGGTGACTGAGGGGATGAGTGAGGGAAGGTTTATAAGACAGGTCCCGGGAGAACAGTTTCCCGGGGTAGAGGGCGGGTGAATGGTTTGGGATGGTGAGTCAATTGGGAACTTCTGGTTGGGATGTTCTTTTTGATATTGTGCCAGTGTCTTCCGTGAAGGTTGGTTTCTGCCAGTTGCCGAGGTTGTGACGTAGAACCGGCGAGGGAGCCAATCAGATTGTGTACATAGAGGGGTCTCCGCACCCGGCCATTTGTTTTGGCTCCGGTCCGGCCAATTTGTGGTGTCACAGCAACAAGACATCAACAAGACATGGCTTTGCCTTGAGCACTGACATACTTACTCTCTTGTGTGTAGGGAAAAGGTCTATTGATGCGAGTCAATCAGAGGAGTGGAGATCTGTAGGAAATCTGTAGGAAATCTGTAGGAATGAGGTATGGCTGGTCAGGGCCTCTCGCGTCTAACGTTAGTGCATCTTGTGTCAGGCATATCGCTTCTCAGATAAATCTTAGTAAGATGCGAATCTTCTTCCTCCAGACGGAATCAGCCATATCTTGTTCGGGCTTGGCAGGTCGGCCTGCTGCACATCCGGAATTGTCGGCTTGAAGCTGCACGGCCACGTCAGGCTGCATACGGACGGACCATCCCGACAGGCCCACCGAGAAGAAAGAGTGAAATCCCGGCGGAGGTCATGTCCAAAAGCCATCAGCTGCTATATCAGAGCATTTTACAGAGAGACAGGAAACACATTCTGAAAGTTGATGCGCTGCGATCCAGCAATGCTCCGTAAGTCACCTGACAGGCAAGCCCTATACGCAACAACCTCATCTTGCCAGTATGCTCGGCTGTCTGCAATCGCCTCGGTCTCGCTCAAACTCCGACCTCCTCAGGACCCTTGCTGGATCGACACTGATCGACACTGATCGACACTACCCCTCCCGCTAGCACCAGAGCCCGCATCTGCTCCTTGATTCTGCTCGTCGTACGATGAATTCCTCCTGCCTTAGGCTAATCGGCTAAATGAACCCAACGTGCTTAAATACGCTGCAGCCAGGTACATCTCCCCATGTACACAACGAACAGTACAGCCAACAGCATGTACTTCCTCATCGCTCTCCTCGTGGTCGGCCACTGCTTGGCCGACTACTTCCACCCTAACTCCACCGGCCTGCGCCTGCAACACGGCTTCGAGACCCTGCTCATCCAGCCCTACGGCTACGATGGCTTCCGCGTGCGCGCATGGCCTTTCCGCCCCCCTAGCGGCCAAGAGATCAGCTTCATCTACGACCCACCCCTGGAGGGCTTCGAGAACGGCACCGCGCACGGCATGAGCTACGACCAGACCTCTACCGGCGAAACGCCCCGAACCCTCCGCAACGGCAACCTCCTCCTCCGCACGACCGGCTGGGGCGGCAACGAGGGGGGCTACCGCCTGTCCTTCTTGCGTCTCAGCGCCGATGGCAGCGAAACCCTCCTCACCAACGAGTACGCCCCGCTCAAATCCCTCAATCCGCGGACCTACACGTGGCCCGGTCCGGGGGCCGAGTTCCGCGCAGAATTCAGCTTCAGTGCCACGCCGGACGAGCAGATCTACGGCACGGGCACGCAGCAAGACCACCGCATCAACAAGAAGGGCTCGGTCATTGACCTGGTCAACTTCAACACCTACATCCCCACCCCGGTGTTCATGAGCAACAAGGGCTACGCGTTCGTGTGGAACATGCCCGCCGAGGGCCGCATGGAGTTCGGGGCGCTGCGCACCAAGTTCGTGGCCGAATCGACCACCCTCGTCGACTACGTGATCGTCGCTGCTGACGATTCGCCCTCCTCATCCAACAACGCCTCCGTATCGAAATACGACACCCTGCAGCGCCGCCTGTCCGCGCTGACCGGGCGCGCCCCGACCCCTCCCGCTTTCAGCCTGGGGTACATCCAATCGAAGCTGCGTTACGAAAACCAGAGCGAAGTCGAGCAGCTGGCGCGGGACTTCGCGGCGCATGACATCCCCGTCTCACTGGTGGTGATCGACTACCAGTCGTGGGCGCACCAGGGCGACTGGGCGCTGGACCCGCGGCTGTGGCCGAACGTCAGTCACATGGCGGCGGTGGTGCGGAACACCACGGGGGCCGAGCTGATGGCCAGCCTGTGGCCCAGCGTGGCGGACAACTCGCTCAACTACGCCAGCCTTCAAGCGCAGGGGTTCCTGTCGGCGACGCGCTCCGGGCCCGGCACGACGGACAGCTGGAACGGCAGCTATATCCGCAACTACGATGCCACGAACCCGCTCGCGCGCCACTTCTTGTGGTCGACGCTGCACCGCAACTACTACACCCAGGGCATCAAGAACTTCTGGATCGATCAAGCCGACGGCGGCGCCCTCGGCGAAGCCTACGAGAACAACGGCCAAAGCACGTACATCCAATCGATCCCCTACGCGCTGCCGGACGTGCTCTACGCCGCGGGGACCCAGCGCAGCGTGGGGAAACTTTACCCGTGGGCGCACCAGCAGGCCATCGACGAGGGCTACCGCAACGTGAGCGCCACGGCGCCCGGCGACCCCTGCCCGCAGATCTCCCTCAGCCGGAGCGGGTACATCGGCTCGCAGCGGTTCTGCAGCATCATCTGGTCCGGCGACACGACCTCCGTCTGGGACACGTTGGCCGCGCAGATCGCGTCTGGGCTGTCGGCCGCCGCCACCGGCTGGGGCTGGTGGACCGTGGACGCCGGCGGGTTCCAAGCGGACCCGACGGTGGCCTGGAGCGGGGACATCGATACCCCCGAGTTTCGGGAGTTGTACGTGCGGTGGTTCGCGTGGGCGGCGTTTCTGCCGTTCATGCGCACGCATGGCAGTCGCGCGTGCAGCGTGCAGAGCGCGTACACCTGCGCGAATGAGCCGTGGTCGTATGGCGACGAGAATACCCCGATCATCTCGGGGTACATCCGGCTGCGGTATCAGCTGGCGCGCTACTTGACGAACGTCTTTGCGCGGTTTAGTACCGAGGGGAGGAGTATCATGCGTCCGCTGTATATGGATTTTGAGACGACGGATAAGAATGTGAGTGGCTTGGTGGCGGCCAACACGAATTTCACGACCCAGGCGTATATGTTCGGGCCACGGCTGTTGGTGAGTCCGGTCACGAGGCCGAATGTCTCGGAGTGGGAGGTGTATTTGCCTAGCACGGGGGAGAGGGGGAAGTGGACGTATTGGTGGTCGAATGAGACGTTTGGGGGAGGGGAGGTGGTCACCGTGAAGGCGCCGCGGGAGCATATTCCCTTGTTCTTTTTGGGGAGCAGGGAGGAGATTCTGAGTGGGGATGTTTTTTGAAGGGCTCGGATGGTAGAGGGAGTGTAGATGGTTTCTGAGGAGGTGACCTGGTTTTGACCTTCGAAGCATCTTGCTGGATCTAGTATAGAGAACTATAGACATACAATGTCAGAAGAACGAGCCTGGCGATCCATTCAACCGCAGGCCCATCAAGATTCAATACCAGGCTTGACTACCTCGTGTTACATTAGATTTGAGTGTCATAGTCACTGCCTTCTGCGCAGAATCAGGTTGGAACCTGGTCTGACAATATCTCCCACTGCGCCGCTCCCGCCTTCATTTATACAGCTTCGGCCTACGCGATTAGGGTATGTGCAGTTTGGGATTAAGGCGGCATGGACACTCACACTGGACCCAAGTCAAATGTCAAACAGTCTACCTAAGTTTTGATGCTGTGTAGCATTTTTCAATTCTCTCTCAGGGTGGATATGTGCTGTGCTACGAAGGTTTATCTCTGCCAAAATTCCAACACAGCCCTGTGCTGATCCCTCGACTACACAGACAGTTGACATCGAATCAGGTTCTAAACATAGTCACTGTTACAACCCGCTGCAATCCAAAGATTCTTATCCACAGCATGAACGTCTGTGGGGCCCCGATTACATTGATGTTATGTATTGTAGGCTGGACTGCCTGAGGCCACCATCCACGATGAAACACAGCTTGAGCAACCGGCCTGGTGCATGCATGCAAAGGATGAATTTGAGCTTGGCTTAGGGCCCTGATGGAGAAGCTACCTTAAACTAAAAATACACACTGCCAATTGCGTTGCCCAGCTGCGATGCCCCTCCGATGCCAATGTTCCAGCCTTCGACCCACCAGCCCCAACAGAGCAGGAATTACGAAATACGGGAGATGATCGATCAACAGCTTCAGTCTCGAATTTCGACACCAGAAACTCCCCTAGCTTCAGTACAAAAGGCCTGCAAGACCGTCCGGTCTCTTCTAGTCATGTCTAACCCGAATTTCATTCCACATCACCACCCCATCCATCACCATGCAAGGCTGGACGGCATACGCATATGATCCCTCCATGGCGGGGGCGGCAATCATGATCTTGCTGTTCCTGATAGCCACTTTGATCTTCATCTACCAGCTCATTCGCACGAGGGCGTGGTTGACGCTCGCTGCCTTGATTGGGGCACTGTGTACGTCGCCGCCGTGTACTGTGAATGGACAATACTAACGCTGCTTCTGCTCCCAGTCGAAGTCGTTGGATACTGCGGCCGCGCCCTGTCCGCCCATCAGTCCCCGGACTGGACCCTCGGCCCCTACATCATCCAAAGCACCCTGCTGCTGGTCGCCCCCGCCCTCTTCGCCGCCACCATCTACATGATCCTCGGGCGCATTATCCTCCTGGTCCGCGGCGAGCACCACTCCATCATCCGCCTGAAGTTCCTGACCAAGATCTTCGTGGTGGGCGACATTCTCTCCTTCCTGATGCAAGCCTCCGGTACGATCCCCTTCCCCCGGCCTGAACACAACCCTAACGGACAACAGGCGCGGGTCTGATGGTCAAAGCCTCCTCCGCGACGGACCACACCGGCGAGAATGTGATCATCGGGGGCCTGGTCGTGCAGATCCTCTTCTTCTGCTTCTTCATCATCGTGGCGGTCCTCTTCCAGCGGCGCATCTACCGCCACCCCACGGTGCGGTCGGAGTCGCCGCAGATCCCGTGGCGCAAGCACTTCTTCTCGCTGTACGCGATGAGCTTCCTGATCCTGATCCGGTCGATTGTGCGGTTTATCGAGTACGTGCAGGGACAGCAGGGGTACGTGATCACGCACGAGGCGTTTATTTATGTCTTCGACGCGGTGCCGATGTTTTTGGTGCTGTGCATCCTCATTGTGGTCCACCCGAGTGAGATCAATGGGCTGCTGGGCAAGTCGCGGGTGGCGGCGGTGGGGAATGGGTTGCGCTTCAAGGATGTGACTCCGGCTCTGTAGATTTTTCTTTGGGTGAGGGATTTAACTAGACGACAGCACTGTTACACATTGAATTGAATTCAGATGGAATCGACTGAACCAGACCCCGAACAGGCAAAGAATACGCATGCGAGGTGGGGGGGAGGTGGAGATGGGGCAGGACTAAGCTTCAAGCGGGTATGAGTACGGATACGAAGTGGAGCCCTACTTTCTCCCTTTTTCTTGCCTTCTGGACTGTACTGTACCATGCAGCCCATGCGGTATAATTACCTAGCGCACAGTTCAGAGCTTACTGGTAATCATGGATGCCATTCTCTGTGAACGCCTTCACCACACAACAATCCATACCTCGGCTTTAACGTCCTACTTCGCCCCCACGGATCTACTACCACGACTACTACTACTACTTACTTCTCCCACCACCCTCCTCATGTGAAGACCTCTCTATATCCTCAGGACACCCGTCCCGACCATGCACGTCCTCACCATCCTGTGCATTGCGCTCGCACTGCCAGCCAGCTACACCCTCGCTCAAGTCTACCGTCACTACCGACCCCTCCGCGACAGCCCGCTGCCCGTCCTCATCGTCGCGATCTCCCTCCCCCACCCACTACATGGTCTATTTAGCCTCATCGACCACAACTCCCGCCTAGCGCTCTTCTTCCAACGGGACCGCTTCAGACATCACTCCTGGAACTTCCGCGACAAGTTCGCATTACACGCGCGCTACGGCCAGTCCTTCTTCCTGGTGACGCCGGGAGGCCGGGAATTCATCACCGCAGATCGGAGCGTTGCGGAGCAGATCCTCCTGCGTCGGAGGACGTTCCCCAAGCCTGTCGGGCTGCTTGGTGCTGCCCCTACCTCTCCGGCGGATAGACGAACGCGACTGATAAGGAGAATGTAGACAAGTTAGAGCTGTTCGGACCGCATCTTGCTTCGGTATCCCCTGCTCCACTTCACACCACTTTACCTTGTCCGGTAGTTGCGTGCTGACCCGATGCTTGACGTATGTGTGTAGGTCGAAGACACAACCTGGCAGCGCCACCGCCGCATCACGGCCAGCGCATTCACCGCGGCCACCGACCAGATCGTCTGGACCGCCTCCCTTGCCCGCGCGGCGCAGCTGGTCGCCTCCCGGCCCCGTACAACCACCAGCACATTCCCCGACCTGGCCGATGCAAGCCTCGACATACTCCTCAAGGCCTGTTTACCCACCACCACCTCATCAGACCCAACCTTCTGTCCGGAGGCGTGCAAACCCGCCCTCCTCCGCTTCCTGGACATCATCACCGCCCCGAGGGGGAGCCTTCTCCCCTGGCGGCGGAGGGACGGCCTACGGAGTCTGTGGGCAACGGCGCGCGAGCTAGGGGCCAGTATCGCGCAGTTGGTGGAAAACCGGCGACGGGATCCGGATGGAACCCTAAAACGGGGGGATCTACTCTCGACATTGCTGCGGTGCGAAGGCCGTCCTGGCCACGGCAACCGGGATTATATGTCCGGGGACGAGATCCGGGGCAACGTGTTTCTGTTTCTGTTTGCGGGGCATGAGACCACCGCCAATACGTTGCTGTATGCGGTGTATCTTCTGGCTATCTTTCCGGCGTGGCAGGCGTGGGTGGGGCAGGAGATGGATTCCTTGCTTCAGGGTTGGGCAGAGAATGAGGAGCCTGGGTGTGAGGTGTTGGAGGGGTTGAAGAGGCTGAGGGCTGTTATGGTGGGTTTCCCCTTTTGTCACCTGGTGGCCGTGGTGGTGGTGATGATGGCTAACTAATTGTGGCAGATGGAGACGCTCCGGCTGTATGGCCCCGTTGTGAATGTGCTGCGCGAGACGCGCGAGCAGGACGAGATGGTCAAGATGGAGACGCCGTTTCTCATTCCAAAGCACACCTCGATCCGGGTCAATAGTGTAGCGCTGCACATGAACCCTGGGACGTGGGGACGTGATGCGGCGGAGTGGAGGCCGTCGCGGTGGGTGCTTGCGTCGTCAACCGGACACCCCGGGGAGGATGTTTACAACGCGGAGATGGAGCGGAGGCTCATCGCTTGGTCGAAAGGGCCGAGAGTCTGTCCTGGCAAGCGATTCTCGCAGATCGAGATCCTGGCGGTGCTGCTGCAGCTGTTCCGACGGCATAGACTTGAGATTGTACCTGACCCCGGGGAGACAGTCGAGGAGGCACGGCAACGGGCGTATGCGCGGGTGCAGCAGAGCACAATGAGTTTGACTCTGCATATTCCCCAGCCAGAGAAGCTGTGCTTACGGTGGGAGCGGCGGGAGAGATAGTGATCTTGCTTACTATAGAATAAGTAAACCAGCGTGCTTGATTGATCAATTTGTATACACCCTCAGACTAAGCCTGTGAACTAGCGATGAACTGGGAAGCCAATCGGCACCCAAAAACAGGTATCTAAACGAGTACGAGACCCGAATACGACATCATCCTAGCCATTCCAGAACGTATGTATACATACATACCCTATATAAGCATACATAAGCATATCACCACCACCACCACCCCACACCTTCTCTCGCAAGCATGCTCACCTACCTCCTCTACCAGTACGCCCCCTCTCTCCCCGCTGCGATCGCAGCGACCGTCTGCTTCGGCCTCCTTACCATCAGCCATGCCATCCACTACTGCGCCCAGCGCACCTGGTTCTTCACCCCGTTCATCATCGGGGGGATCTGTACGTAGCCTCAGACTCCCCTCGGTTCCTCCTCAGTTAGCGCACTGATACCAACCCTAGTCGAAACAACCGGCTACACCGGCCGCATTATCAACAGCACCCAGACCCCAAACTGGACCATAGCCCCGTATATAATGCAATCGCTGCTGCTACTAGTCGCTCCCTCCCTCTTCGCCGCCTCTATCTACATGATCCTGGCCCGTATCATCCGCCTCACCGACGGGGACACCCGCTCCGTGCTCCCCGCCCACTGGATCACCCGCGTGTTTGTCGTCGGCGATGTGCTTGCCTTCCTGGCGCAGGCGGGAGGCGAGTTCTCCCCTTTCCTATCCACGATCCGGTTATTCCTCGCAGACAAGTCTCTGAATCACAGTGGTCTCACTCCAATGCTGATTACTGCATATTATAGGCGGAGGCCTCCTCGCCAAATCCAATTCATCCAGCACCACCAAAACCGCCAACTGGATCGTCATCGCCGGCCTGGCCATCCAGATCGTCTTCTTCGCTGCCTTCATCCTCGTCTCCGCAATATTTCACCGGCGCATGAGGAGCAACCCCACGCGGCACGCGCGGAAGACCCGGGTGCCCTGGAGCGGGTTCCTATGGGTGCTGTACCTGACCAACGCGCTCATCATGGGGAGGTCGGTGTTTCGGGTGGTCGAGTTCGCGATGGGGCGGAATGGGGTCCTCCAGCGGCGCGAGGTGTGGTTGTATGTATTTGATGGGGGGGTTATGGCGTTGATGATGCTGCTTTTGCTGGTGTGGCACCCGAGTCGGTTGCGCGTGCGAGGGGGTGGGAGGGGAGATGTGCAGGGGAAGGGGCGAGAGAAGAAGAGAAGAAAGAAGAGGAAGACGAGGAGGGGAATGGAGGAGGGAGATTCGAGGGTAGTGTGGGTGTAAGTGTCTAGATGCTGTTCCTTTTTGTCCTTTAAAGTGTACAGTAGGGACTGTACATGGTACACCATATCTATATGCTTGCTTATAGAACTCAACCCTAAGTCTAAAGTACCAAAGCTTCCGGGGGAGAACCCCCCGACCCCCCTTCTTTTTCAGCTTCCTGGCAGAACTCAACCTGAAGCTCTACATTATAAACGTTTCCGGGGGAGAACCCCCGGACCCCCCTTTCTTTTCGGCTTCCCAGAAGAACTCAGCCCTAACATGCTAATACCGCTCATCGACCACCTCCCTCAACTTCCCACTCGCCTCCAAGAACACCAACTCCCCAAACCGCACCCACTCCACCTGCACAGGCGCCACATGGCCGGCCTCGCGATTCTTCAACCAGCTCGAACTCACCTGTGCCACTGCCTCCTCCAACCTCTCCGCGATACTCTCCCCAACCCCGTCCTCCGGCCTCTCCGCCGCAACCCTAAACACTACCACATTCCTCCCCTTCTCCCGCCGCAGCACCGTCTGAAAACTGTCCGCCACGCCCTCCCCAAGAACCTCACTGACCACCCGTCGTAGCACCGCGCGATCCAACAGCGCCGTGCCCACCTTGACCCCAACATCACTCCGCCCGCGCAGCCGGAATAGCCCCCTCTCGAAATCCACCCACTCGCCCACATCCCCAATCGGATACCGGATCGTAGGCTGCAAGCGCTTCAGCAAATTCGTGACCACCAGCGTCCCGCGCACCCCGTTCTCCCGCACCGGATGCCCATCATCGCCCACAATCTCCAGCACCACCGCCTCCTCGACCACGCGATACACCGGATCCACATCCCCGTCCCCGCCCTTATTGAGTCCCGGAACAGGGAACCCGACAACCTTACACTCAACACTCGCATACGCCATCGGCCGCACCACGGCATTCGGGAAAGCCGCCGCATACAAGCCCCGCAGATCGGCATAAAACGGCTCCCCGGTGTACAGCACCAGCCTCACACTCTCCAACCGCCGGCCCGCCGCCCTCAGAAACGTCGCCAGCTTCGTCGCGATAAACACGTTGCTGATGACGACAGTCGCCGCGAACGCATTCACATCCTTCTCGATGCTTGGGGGAGGTTCCTTCCCGCTGATCGGCAGATTCACCACCGGCACCGCGCTGTTCATCACCGTGTACCCGTACGTCATGAACCCGGAGTACAGGCCCCCTTGCGACGAGAGGTTGGCGATCCGGTCCCCGGGCTGGATGGAACAGCTGCCCGGGAACAGCGCCCCGTTGATGCGTGACGTCTCGTGGAACTCGGCGCGTGTCATGTATACTGTTTTCGGGGTCGAGGTCGAGCCGCCGCTGCGCATTACTAGGGCGTCGGTCAGCGGGGCGGTGAGGACTGCGGTGGCATCCGTGCTGGCGGTGGTCCAGTAGCTTGTTGAGTCGGTTAGGGGGAGGGAGGCGAGGGTGAGGATCTCCGGGGTGGGGGGCAGGGAGGCGTAGAGGGCGCGGTAGTAGGGGGAGTGGGTGCGGACGTGGCTGAGGAGGTCCTGAAGGTGAGGGGGGAGGGTGGGGGTTGTTTTGGTCATTTTTATTGATGGTGAGGGAATAAATGGGGTTGAGGATGGAGTTGGGGATTTTGCTTGATCAAAGAAAGGTGGTGTGTGGTTTATGGTGTTAAAACTGTGCAGTTCAGTGGATGTTATATAGGCCACAATGAGAGGATCGAGATGCACATGCTGGACTGTATGTGCGCGCACTGTACAACTGATATGAAAGTAGGGCAAAGGCACAGTATAACACGTCTCCATTGCCGCTAGCATGGCGCAATACAACACCCTCATTGGAGGAAGCCTTCCCCGTTGCGACAATCACGTTGTTTCCATTCTGAGACAAATGGTAACATATGGTGACATGAAGAAAGGATTCTCTAGACCCTGCATGATGACAATACCTGCAACGCCCCCCCACATGGCGACAGATCCCGTACTTTGTACGGTTGTCCGAGCGGACTCCGATTCTGCGCCCTGACCACCCAACTCCGTGTACGATCATCATAATTAGTGGGTCTTAGTGCTTATGTCGACTATAATTTACTCTAAGCATCAATATACCCACTGTGAAGACATTCAGAAACAGTATAGCGTGAAGAATCAGGTTGTTGGCTGTGGAATCTCCACTCTTTGGCCCCCTCACAGCATTCCCGACGCACAACCCGTGCCTGGACCGCGTCAGGGTCTTAGCTTAGCGTATGTATGTACTGTACTGTTACCGGTAAGCTACTGAGACCCTGAGATGGCAGCACGGACACCATACCAGATGCCTGGAGGCTGAAAGAGCGCCGCGGAAAAACCGCTGTAGATCACGTCCGAGCGTCAATTACACAACATTCCTGCAGAATTATCTCAGATCCTTAGGTCTTCTACGACGGTTGCACAGATTGATAAGAATCGTCATCCATGACGCGAAAGTCGGAGCTCGTATAGGCAATGGCGAGGGGGCGTGCATGCAGGGGCTATAGCTATATCACTCTGTGCCAAGATTAGGACACCTCATAGGCCCACCGAGACAAGCTAATCCCCCGTAAGCTTGACATTGCTTGGCAGCCCTGCCAAGTGTGGCGCCAACCTTGGTCTTGACGTCCAAAATACCTCCATCGTCCCGCGGCGGTTCCAGCCGCTCCCGTTAGAGCTCCATGCACGGATCTAGATTACCAGTCATAAGATGACTGCAGACGTAGACGGCACCGTTATTCGCTGCGTCGGGCCGCGCTCCGCTCGTTTTGGAAGCATGGTGAAACACGGCCACGAAAGTCGCCGCGCGGGATATGTGTGAGCCTGTCGATTAAGACGTCCGAGTGTTGCCCGAGGATGTGAGGTCTCAGAGGGAGCCACAAATGGGGTGCTAGGGGAGGGGCACACCATCGGCTGCAATACTCTACTGGACGGGAGCGTATCCATCTCACTGCAGGAATGTCGCGATGATCAACCTCGTCGGTTCTCCTCCGGTCGACTCGCCGGTGGCTAGAACATCACGGGCCAAGACAATAGCCATCGCAGGATTCTCGCACGCCAATCTATTTGTCAAAGTGATTGAAAATCGAAGTCGTGAAGCCGGAGAGTATCAATGTGCAGCGCGGGGTGGGCGATGAGAAGATTCAGTTTCGGGATTTGGTGTGAGGCTCAAACAAAAGCAGAGAAGATATAAGAAGGGTTGGAGAAACGCAAGTAAAGCCCCAAAGAAAAGAAAGCATCATCATCTCTCAATTTCAATCTTATAAAATGTCTTCCATTGTATCGTCTTTCCGTGAGGGAGCCGTGCAGCCCCCTGCCACTTACAAAGATCCCCGCGAGGAGAGATGGGAGGATCAGACGGCCTTCTTTGCCAGAGATCCCTTGTCCACAAACCAGCAAACCGCTTGGGACTCTCCTGGTCAGGCCGCCTTTGACTTCCGCTCCGATTATGTTACATCTCCCAACATCGCCATGCTGGCATCGATCATCAAGACAAGCTTGCTAGACGATGTCATGAAGGAGGACCCGACCACCAACTCTTTCCAGGAGTTCATAGCCCAACTGACGGGCCATGAAGACTCACTCCTGGTCATGTCGGGAACCATGGGCAACCAGGTGGCGCTCCGAACCGCACTGCTGGCCCCACCCTACAGCATCCTCGCCGACAGTCGCAGCCACATCATTGGCATGGAGGCCGGCGGCCCGTCGACGCTGTGTGGAGCTTTGATGCAAGGCGTCGCTCCATCCAACGGACATCACCTCACGCTGGAGGACGTCAAGCGGCACGTTACGCTCCGTGAGGATGTCTACGACTGCCCCACGCGGATTATTAGTCTGGAAAATACGCTGTCCGGGACCATCATGCCTCTGGAGGACGTGCGTGCAATATCCAATTGGGCCCGGAGTCAGGACCCGCCGATCCACATGCACCTCGACGGGGCGCGGTTGTGGGAGGCCGTGGCGGCCGGCGCCGGCACCCTCAAAGAGTACGCCACCTGCTTCGATAGCGCGCAGCTGTGCTTCACCAAGGGTCTCGGTGCCCCTATTGGATCAATAGTCATTGGCAACAAGGCCTTCATCAAGCGCGCCCGCTGGATGCGCAAGTTGCTGGGTGGAGGCATCCGCGCGGCCGGCATTGTGTGCGCCCCTGCCCGGGTGGCGGTGGAGCAGATCTTCCTTGGTGGACGCTTGCGTGCGAACCAAGAAACTGCAAAGAGACTCTCCAAGCTGTGGGTGAGTCTGGGCGGGAAGCTTCAGCATCCGACAGAAACCAACATGATATGGTTGGATTTGGAGGCCGCGGGAATTGACAAGGAACATTTTGCGGATATGGCAGAGAATGCAGGCGTCAAGACCATGCGTGGTCGTTTGCAGGGCCGGCTGATCATCCATTACCAAATCTGTGATCGTGCCTTGGAGGCTTTGGCGAATCTTTTCGCAGAGATTCTGAAGGGTAAGCGGGATTATCTGCAAAAGTGATGAGGTGCGAGAAAAGCAAAGTTGAAAGCTCTCCGTGTTCATTGCGGTACATTGGCCTGATTTCGTAATGTCTGTAACGTTGAATTAAGTCTTCCAGTTTAGTGTTCAGAGGCCGTTAAAACATCCTTAACTCATCACTCATGCCTATGTCGAAGTTGATAGCCCAGTCTGTGAAATTGAAGTTTTCGAGATCAATCAAGGAGTTCATATCAATTTCACCCATCGTGGTAGGGGCTGTGCTGTCTATTTGTGGGGGCGTCGGAACTGCTTCGGGGACTGAGCCAGGGGCAGGGGTTTTCGTGGAATTGACAACTGTAAGACTGTCTAGAATCCCGTCGAGCTTGCGAGAAATAGCTCTCGATGCTTTGAGGCAGAATACGTAGTTGGTCTCGTTGGGGTTGGATACGCTTTCAAGTTGAGACACCAGAACCGAAAGATGACGGATGAGATTCGAGGTCTTGATGCCTGCAGGGAGCCGTGTTCCTGCTGATGCATCTTGCATCACGTTCTCAAGAGCGGTTGAGAGGATTGCAGCACATGGCAACCCATAAGAGAGAACCTAGTCCCGGTCAATGGCGAGGTCTACTAATGCAGTGGAATATCAGTCAGGGGAGCATACAATCCCAGGCAGATCGCGCGGCGAGAAAGAGGTTCTCCCGCGACTATTCGTCATCTGGATCACGGTCTCAAGCATACAGGCTGAGACCTCAAGCAGTTCTGGTTGAGGGGTCGTAAGACCTTCTGCATTCCCAAGGAGTCTGTAAATCTGAAAGTGAATGTGCAGATAAGAGAGGTAGACTTTTGCATGCATGTGGCAAAGTTCTGGAGGGAGGTTTGACGTCCAGCAGTCCTGCCTGTACTGGAGGTGTGAAGGCAGCCGATGCCATGCCTGAGTACAGCGATCGGATAGCTCTCTGCGGCATATTAGCGAGCGGCTTCAACAACAGCAGTTAAGCCAATACATACCTAAGTTTCACAGATTCGGCGGCATGCGTGACTCGAAACTGATATTCAACGGTCTCCTCGCGAAACTCCGCAAGAATATAGCGTATTCGAGCCCACGTAGCTACTCGATGCTTTCCGTCGGTGTTCCAGCCATCCGGTTTCAGGTTGTGCTTTGCTTGCTCTATCACATCTGACGACGCGAAAAGTTCCTCATCAGATAGGTCTAATGGAAGGCTGCAGTCTGCATGTCGAGCAGTTATGCGCGGCGGCCGCATGAAGACCGACGCAAACACTTTGTCCAGGTAATACGCTCTAGCAAAGGTTCTTCGTCGACATTCCGCCAGGAAGAATGGCGTCGTGGCGTGGGTTGCTTCTCGGTTCAGGCCTAAGGCTAGGATGTCTGTGGCGAGATCGCCCAAGCGTCTCCATACACCTAAGCCTACAGCACTGTTAGATGCGCCCGCTGAGTCTGTGGCAGTCCCACTTACTTGCATCACCTTCGAAGATCGTGGTTAGTTGCAGGTTCTCGTGCGCAAGCCATGTAATAAGATCAGTCGTTTGCGGTGCCAGCTCACGGGCCAGTCGCAGGCTCAAGTTGCCGTACCAGCCCATATCACGAACGAAGGCATTGTCACGGTCTTCATCGTGTCCATCCCCTACAGCAAACATAGTTGCGCGTGCGGCCATCGTATACAGGAGGCCAAGGGTTTCTATGCGTAGATTGGGCCCACAAAACAAGGCGCAGAATGCCGGCAAATCCAAGTCGCGGGTGATGACTACTTCCACCGAGGAGGCCCGTAGAATGTCTTCGGCTAATTCAGATACGCAGTGAGTCTCATGCTCTGCATCTAAGCTGTCCTGATTATAGCCTGAGGCTGCAAGACCGGCTCGAATCGAAGCGATGAGCTGCAAGAGTAGCGGCTGAGGGACTAGTGCGACTAGGCTGAATGAGTAATATTCATGCAACTGTCTTTCTATGACGGGTAAGAGCTTCAGCTGGGCGACAATGCGTCGGATAGCCGCCAAGTGCTCATCGTGGGCCTTGAGATTGTAGTTGTGGCGGCCCGGGGTGAGGGCGAGCGATGACGAGTCAGTGGGATCGGCGGACATGAACGGCCAAGTGTGGAACTTGGGGGTCTCGGCCAAGGGACTCTCGACCGGATGATGCGGCAGTGGGCCCGTCTGGGGGACGCGGAGTGAGCCTGGTGGCGTGGACAAAGAGTGTCTTTGCGAAGTCCGATGCTTGGTCAGAGGGGCAGGATGATACCAGCATTGCGGGTGGAGCCCACGGCGTTGGCAGGAAGCACAGGTGGGTTTGCTGTGATCACACCGGATCTTACTTTTTCGACATGGCTCACACGAGGCCAGCGAGCGATTACGCCGGCGACTTAGTGTAGACATGACCAGACAGTCCGAATGGATGGCTTGTTGGCTCTTCGGCCATTTGGGGGGGGGGGAGGTTGTGGGAGGAAGAGAAGAAGAAGAGGGGATCGCGACAAACGGAAGCGAATGTACGACTTATCACGTGACGTCAATCTGCGAACGACGCACACCACCAGGGAATCATCCACCCAAGCCTTGCAATCTTGGGAGATAATTCAGATAGTCAAGATAGAAAGAAGAAGGTAACAAGAAAAACCAGTTCTTCTCCACCCCACTGTCACAAATAAGAAGTTGTCCGTGAGAGACCGGAGTCGCAGGGTAATTCAGAATGTGTATCGGACTTGTATCGGAGTGCTCGGGCTCACCAGCATCTCCACTACTGACTTGGCACTCCTACTGCTTGGGTGCATATTAGTTCACATCCACCGGCTCGATATTTTGATTCTGACATTTGAATCCTCTCGACTAGCCTGCACTCGCCGTTCAATTTATATCAGCCCCTGTAGAGTCTAATGGGGACATACTATCAGCCATGAACATCCGAAAATTACTGCAGCGCTTGAACACCATCAAGGAACACGAAGGCGCGAATCCAACACCACCCTTAGACTCACCACTCCCAGAAAAGTCATCAGAGCAGGTGGCTAAAGAAAGTGACCTGGGGAATGGCACCGTCGAGTCCGATAGAGTTCTAGTGAGTTTTCTCCCCCAATCGCGCCAATCGCGCTGGACGCCTGCTCACCATGACAACCACAAGGTAACCTGGGAAGGCGAGGACGACCCTGAAAACCCCAAGAACTGGAGTTCGATGCGCAAATGGAAGGCGATCTTCGCCATGAGCTCCTTCGTCTTCATGAGTCCCCTGTCATCGACCATTGTCGCTCCAGCACTGCCGGCCATTGCGTCCGACCTAAACATCACCCAGCCGGCGGTCGAGCAAATGGTGCTCTCCATCTTCCTCCTGGGCTTCGCGTGCGGCCCTCTCGTCGCCAGTCCACTGTCCGAGATTTATGGCCGGGTGCGAGTGGTCCAGTCCTGGAACTTCATGTACATCGTCTTTAACGCCGCGTGCGGAGGTGCGCGCACCAAGGAAGCCATCATCGTCTTGCGCTTTGTTGCCGGCCTCTGCGGAAGCGCTACCCTGGGGGTATGTGACGAACCCTAGCCAACCTGGCCATTGTGACTGACAGTCTGCTAGATCGGCGGCGGTACGCTCAGCGACCTCTTCTACGCGAAAGACCGCGGCAAAGCCGTGGCAATCTACAGCTGGTCGCCAATCCTCGCGCCACTGGTTGGGGCCGTCATCGGCGGCTTCATCTCGCAGAACACCGGCTGGCAGTGGACCTTCTACGCCTCCTCGCTGCTCAGCGTGGCCATTCAACTGTCGGGCCTAGTCTTCCTAGAAGAGACCTACCCGCCACTCCTCCTCCGGCGCAAGAAGGCCCAACTGATCAAAACCACGGGGGCCACGAACCTGTACACGGACTACGACTACCTCGACGCAGGACGGCTGAAGAAGCTGTCGACCAACCTGATCCGGCCGTTCAAGCTCCTGGCCACGCAGCCCATCATCCAGGTGCTGGCGCTGTATAACGCCTACCTGTACGGCAACATCTACATCCTGTACGCGGACTTTGTGGACCTGTGGACGGAGGTGTACGGCGAGCGCACCGAGATCGCGGGGCTGAACTACATCTCCATCGCCGTGGGGTCAGCCCTGGCGGCCGAGTGCTGCACCCTGGTCAACGACCGCATCTACCGCACTCTGACCCGGCGCAACGGGGGCAAGGGCCTCCCGGAGTTCCGCATCCCCATCATGCTCCCCGCCACCCTGTTCCTCAGCGCCGGCATGTTCTGGTACGGCTGGTCCGCCGAGAAGAAGCTACACTGGATCATGCCCAACATCGGCACCTCGATTTTCGTGGCCGGGGCGCTGGCGTGCACCATATCCGTGAATGCGTATGTGATTGATACGTATGGCCGGTATGCGGCCAGCGGGCTGGCAGCCGTGTCGACGATTCGGTGTCTTGCGGGCTTTACCTTTCCGATGTTTGCGCCTTACATGTGAGTTTTCTTGCGGGTCAAGACTGTCTATATTGAGCTACCGCTGATATCTTCATAGGTACTCTACGTTGGGATATGGGTGGTCGGGGAGTCTGCTAGGCTTCATTGGGTTGGGGATTGGGCTCCCGGCGGCGATGCTGTTGGGTCTGTATGGGCAGTACTTGCGGGACAGAAGTCCCTATGCAACCAAAGCCCATTAGGATGTGGTTAAGGGGTTGCTTGATGAGACTTATGAGCTAATGAGTTAGAGCTGCGAAAAAGCATAGTGGTTGGTCAAGTACATAGACGTCGCTGGGAAAAGCATATATCACGTTTGAATGACAGGCTGCAGTACGAGAAGTGGGAATGATACTGATACCTTCGGTGGTAGTTCTTTTGGTACAAATTTGGCAGGACTTATGGTAGACTTGAAAGTAACGACACTGGCGCTTATGAATAGAGACTCGTATTGCAAGCAACTTGATCATAATCTTTGAGTATCTTCGGACAGATGGATAAGTAAAAAACATGATATCTCCAGAAAACAATGACAATCTACCTGGGCCAACTCGACATCATCGATCGGTCCTAGCCACGAACTTGCAGAACGCACCAACAATATTTAATAGGTCACATCTGCCGATATTACCCACGATAGTCTCCTAAAATCGACGGCGCTTGCGCGAGCGATGGCCACGTTCATTATGATCATCGTCATCGACCTCAGCCCTGCGAGAGACATGGTGTGCAGACTGGTCTTCGCCATCTTGAGCAGCAGCCAGCTGGGCATTCTGAGACTGGGGCCGCGGCTCGACGAGCCCCAGATCATTGATGATCAAGTCAAAATCTTCAAGGTCCTGCGTAGTGACTGGTGCCGGGTTCTCGCTGCACCTATCAACGAAATAGACATCACGAGGCACGACTCTCGCTCGGCGGATAATCACCTCCCCATCGATTTTGGTCTGACGGCTGAGAACTGCGCGATTCAGACGGATGACGCACTCCTCGTATGAGTAATTATCATTGAATATCTTTCTGAGGCCGTCGGCCCAAAATCGGGTGAAATATGCATACATGTGCAACAGGCGCTGGCCCCTTTCGCCCCAGCCGCACAGTTGAGTCTCGACCTTGCGTACGGTTTCCTGATGTGTTTCTATATACCAGCGGGCATCGAGGAGAGCCCCCCAGTTTGTTTCATATGTTGCAGTATTTTTAAAAGTTTCGAAGTCTGGTCGCACGGTCTCGAGATAAGCCAGAAACTTGCTGAGAACATGCTCGTAATGCAGGTCTTTGCCGTTCGACTTGGCCGGGATTCTTGCTGCCACCAGGTCGACGAGCTGGGTAAACTCTTCTCGCGATCGCTCGATTCGGGCTCTTTCCAGATACTCAATCACGGTCGGGATATCAGTAAAGCTTGTATTCTCGAATTTCAGACCTTTCACCCAAGGAGATCGTTGGCAGGTCAGAGCCATAATGTCATCTAATTTCTCTTTGATCTAGGGCTCTTTGTTCTTGGTTTTGATGTACTTTTGGGTTCTCTTGCACATCTTGAAGGGAGAAGACTAAGCAAATCGATCCTGGAAAGTAACACGGTGCCGAGAGGGGCGGGGGGCAGAAAGCAGGTTGAAGAGCGACTCTCACCTTCGTCTCGTTCCTGTTGTGAAGGGGTTTGCCGGATTCCGTGTTGTCTTTGTAACGTTTAAAATGGTTAGGAGGAGTTCGACAACAAGCAAGAACAAGACAGATACGAAAGGAAGTATAAGTGACAAAACTGAGATGACTTGAGTTGGGATATCAGTATCGTGTTGATGAAAGAGTGTGTTCGGGAGATGATGGGCAGTAGGTAGGAGCAAGAGAGTTAAAGAAGTAAGTTGGTACCGATTTCCTGCGAGTAAAGGATGCAGATTAGATGGAAGTCGAAGAGAGGTAGGTAAGACTAATGAGCTTAGATAGCACAAGTCCAAGGATCAGTAAAGTGGTGAGCAAGTAGAGGTGAAGGTGGGTTGAAGAAACAGAGAGGGAGAGAGGGGAGAGAGAGAAAGAGAAAGATGATTGCTTATATAGCTGAAGAAACTGTGGCCTTCATTGCACATTCACTGTTTGACCTTTATCTGAACATTCACCATCCTGCCACTTGTCACCCCAGACTTTCCTAGTAGTGTTCTTGTATTGATACACTCATCAGTAAGTCAATCTTGTATGTAAGAGTCTATATCCCTTATCCCTTGCAAGTAGGATATCAGGAGTGACTTGGCAAGATCTACCAATCATTCAACAGCATTCAGACAATATTCATGCCTCTGGGTCAGAAGTGGTCTTAAGTGAGGAATCTGCATTTTTCAATTCACAGCTTATGGCTCAGCTCCATGCAAAAGAAAAGGAAGGCTGATAGTGAATGGTGAAGAGAGGAAAAAACATGCAAAGCACACTTCTGTATCGGTTGCCCTTTGAAACATTGGTTGTGTCCTACATTCTTTGCTCTAGTTGTGAATCTTCTTAAGCCATATTTCCACTATTCCAAACCTACAGCCTCAATAATATAGCTACTGTAAATGAATGTCACTCCACCCGAATGACCAACTAACCCCGCGCTTACCCCGCAGAAGATCAGATATGATCGATCCCCCACTCCCAACTCTAACTAACCTCTTCTGATCCCAGTCAACCAACATCAATTACACTACCCAGGGCTCCTATTTCACAAAGTTTCTGCTTAATTCTTGATTAGAACCAAGATCATGGCCCTCCCCCTGACCCACAAGCTCAACACCCTCTCCCTCCACCTTCCACTGGATTCTTTATCTCACCACCTCCCCTACCCAGGGCCAAACATTCCACCTCACCAACGCTCCGGGCTCAGACGTCTGGACATTCGACTCCCAAACCACGGAGAATATCACGCACGGCAGCCGGCTCCTGGTGGCCTTGGAGCTGGGCGAGATAGAGCCCGCGTTACACACTGCGCTGGCGGAGCGGCTCGCCCAGGTTCCTGTGGGATACTCTACCAAATTCCGCGAGGCGATGACGTGTCGGGTCTGGGTGAAGGAGGCGCTATTTGCGCTTGAGGAGGAGGGGTATCTCTGTCTCCCTGTGGGAGGTGCGCAGGAGGTGAACAGGATTGAGGAGAAAGCTAGAGGGTGGGCGATGCGGAATCGGGTTGCTGGACGGGTTAGTATTCAGGTTTGGGGTGGTGTATAAGACGGTTGTCGGGGGCCGGAGGGGTGAGTTGATGCTGGGATGGGCTGTGAAGGTGCTGATGAATAAGAGTTTGGATAGTGGGATATATATTGCGCGTATGGCTTCTCCATTGATTTATACACTGCTGGTGAAAGGGAACGCAGGGTACATGTTCAGATAAAAAGAGTGATAAAGTTGGGTTTAGATCGCATTTATCTTATCATAATTTAACAAGACGTTAGTAGGGACCTGTACGTTGATTGTGTTGTTGAGATGGTTTGTAGATTGACTTGATCTATACTCATGCATAATACACAGGTCCATCAACACAAAAAAGCATTACTCTGACATCGACAGGGGCTGTGGTTTAGTGGTATAATATTCCCTTAGCATGGGAGAGGTCCGGGGTTCGATTCCCCGCAGCTCCATCTTTTTGCTGTCATTTTTGGTGTTCGCACGGATAATCCCGCTGTCAAGTCGTGAACAACACAACACACGACGAAACCATTAATTGCTTGCAATTTTCCAGGGAGTTGCTTGTGTATCCTGCTCGCACACTTCAATCTTCCCTCTACCACATCCCGTGGACCCATAACTGACAGATCACTCCCCAACCTCCCGATCCTCACTCCAATGGGCATACTTCTGCATCGCCCGCCACTGCCACGTCCGATGCCGCAACGGTCGCCCCCAGAAATAGAACGGCACGAAGAACACCACCACCACCCCGGCGATGATGGCCATCTCGCCGAACGCGAGGGCATACCCACTCTGATTGATCCAGGGATTCGTGTAGAAGGAGAGGAGGAACCCGAAGGCCGCTATCAGTCATGTCAGCCTGTCCTTTTCGTCACGAAACACCCAGACACCTAGACCCAAAACCACACCCTCAACCCTAAAGAACAAACAAAAGCAAGGGGAAAAGGAAACATACCCTTGAACGCCAAAATTGAAACCGTGACCTCCCCCACCGCAGGCCGGTAACTATCAATCACATACACCATAGTGGCGTTGGTGGCCTGCACGATCGCGAAGTTCAACAACCCCAACCCCAGTGTCGGCACCATCCAGTGCAACCGGTCGTTGATCCCCACTCCATACAGGATCAAGGCCACGGGGGCACACGCCCCGCCGATGATGACGGAGGGGAGACGCATCTCCGGATGCCGGATGCCCCCGTTGCGGCGCGTGAACCAGTCGGCGGTCCAGTCAGACAGGTGGCCGCCGAAGGCGATGCCGATGGCGGAGCCGACCATCCCAGATACGAAGCAGAGGCCGATCTGCCATGTGGTGAAGTCGTAGGCCGCCGCGTAGGCGGTTGCGAAGTTGGAGGTGATGGCTACGAGGAAGCCGATGGTTACGGCGAACACCAGCGAGGTCCAGAGGACCGGGGGTAGGATGATGAGGGCGATGGGGCGGAGAAAGATCTGGAGGAGAGGTTCGGTGGTGTACGTGCCCGTGAAGAGGCGGAGGGAGCGGAGGTAGGGCTGCTTCTTCGCGCGGGTAGGGCTGGGGGTAGCGGATTCCAGGGCGTGCGGGGATGGGGATCGCGGGTTGGATTGCTTCGCCAGTAAAGCCTTTTGGCGGTCGAAAGTTGTCTCGGGGAAGGTGAAGATGACAAGCAGGGTGACGCCCCCGATCAACGCGGTCGCCACGTAGTAGATGTATCGCCAGCTCAGGGTGATGGTGATGAGCCCATCGATGATGATCCCGCCGGCCACTCCCATGGAAAGGGCAGCAGTATACAAGGCCATCACTGTGCCACGCTCATGTAAGAAGAAGATATCGGCGATGGTTAGCGGGCCCAGACACTCCCCTGCACCTGCTGCAAACCCCATGACGATCCGCCCGGCCAGCTCCACCCCATACGTCTTCGCAAAACCGGTCCAGAACCCAGTAACAACGTACAGGACAAAGGAGATGACATAGATGGGCCGGCGACCGTACTTGACGATAAACGGCATCCAGAAGAGCATCCCAATCCCCTGGCACAGAGCGGTGGTGCTGAAGAAATAGGCCACCTTGGAGATATGGGCGCTGAAATCGGGGCCCTGGGGGCCCAGGAAGTTGACGGTGATCTCCACAATAGCCACAGTTGGGCCTGCAGACAGAAAATTGCAGAAGAAGACGGCCAGACAGACAAGGACGGCAATGTAGTACCGGAATGCAGAGGACCTGGGATGCACATTGTGATTAGTATGACCTGAAAAGAGACTGACCGAGAACAGGGGGAGTGGAGGACAGGACTACCTACCAGTTGAGTGGGTCATTAGGATCCCGCGAAGGCGTAGGGACCAAAAGGATCTCGTTTGTCTCATGATGCCGGAGACGTAGAGTCCCCAGAGTGTCCTTTGGGACGGTTTCGTGGTGGGCTTCGGTGGGCTTCGAGTCCATGGTGGGCGGCTAAGGGGCGAGGCCTCGACTGCTGTGCTCGGCGAGAGGAGCTGGACCTGCCTTATATAACAAAAGCAATGATGTGCAGGGAACTGCCTCTAGATAAGAGAGGCACGGCAAGTGAAGAGGTGGTGGCTGTCATGGTCACTCCAGAATACACCTGTCCCAGCCCTATTCAGAATCACTGTGGCGGTGGGCACCCGGCGCAAAGGGGTTGAATGTCTATACAGCACAGCAGTCGGAGGAATCACAGCTCCAGAGACCTTGGATCTCCTTTTTCGCCCACACTCGGAAACGAAGGCCTTCCCCAGATCTGCGAAATGCAGATAGTGGCAGATGCTTACGAGTCGCAGGTGGAAAGAGCGGGGTAAGGGGCAAGGCAAGTGGCCCACAGCCAGTCCCCGATTTGCTGCCGCCACAAACAAAGCCCTAAGCCTCTTGCTGACTTTCTGTCGCTCGTAGCTAGCCTGCCTGCATATAATCAGTCGATTCCAGCCCCAATCAGTTCCCGGCTTGTCGAATTAACCTCACACCTTCTTTCTCGCATCCTCATTTATTTCAGCTACCACCATGCAGATAATCTGGCGCGACTCCGCGCCCGCCGCCGAATACGAGGAGGCCCGCGTGGGCCGAGTCTTCAACCACCGACGTCCCGACCGCTTTCCACTGGCCGTCATCAAAGCCAGCTGTCAGGACGACATCATCGCAGCCGTCAAGCTTGCCAAAGTGAGAAACTGTCGGCTCGCCGTGCGCTCCGGGGGCCATTCGTGGGCCGCCTGGAGCGTGCGTGATAACTCGATTCTACTCGATTTAGGCAATTACAAGCAGCTGGACGTCGACCCCGCCACTCGGACGGCAAGAGCCACGCCCAGCATGACAGGACGGGAGCTCAATGGGGTCCTCATCAAAGAGCACGATCTGATGTTTCCCGGGGGCCATTGTCCGGATGTTGGGCTGGGAGGATTTCTGCTCCAGGGCGGGATGGGGTGGAATTGTCGGGTACGAGCTCCCCAAACCAGTCGCCGTCTTCCCACACTCGGACTGACAAGTACTCCTAGAATTGGGGCTGGGCCTGTGAGCGCGTTCAGGCTGTCGATGTGGTCACCGCACAGGGCGACGTTCTGCATTGCAACGCCACCCAGAACCGGGAGCTGTATTGGGCTGCGCGCGGGGCCGGTCCGGGTACGTGGCGTACATCCCCACAGCTCTCACCACACATCCTCTTTTCTAACACAATCGCACCCCAGGCTTCCCTGGAGTAATCTCGAAGTACCACCTGGAACTCCTCCCCTACCCGCGCGACGGCTTCCGCTCGTCCGGCTACATCTACCCGATCCGACTCTATTCCGAAGCCTTCCGCTGGGTCCTGCAGGCCACTCCGGCCTCGGATGAGGACACCGAAATCGCTGTCGTCGCGCAGTACCCCGAAGGGATGGATGAGCTGTGCCTGTTCGTCCTCTTCGTGACGATGAAGCACGACCCTGCGGCCGCTGAAGCCGCCCTCCGCCCACTGCATGACTCCCGCCCTCCCGGGGCCATTGTGGAATGGTTCTGCGAGACAGACAGTCTGGAGAAGCAGTATGACAACCAAGCGAAAGCCAATCCGGAGGGCTACCGTTACTGCGCCGAGAACGCGTACATTCGGAACGATGCGGATGTCCCGACTGTGCTGGAGGAGGCGTTCACCACCCTCCCTCACCGCAAGGCCTTCGCCCTCTGGTACGCCATGTACCCCTGCAGTCGGCGCAAGTTGCCGGATATGGCGTTGAGTATGCAGAGCGATCACTACTTCGCGCTGTATACGGTGTGGGAGGAGGCACGGGATGATGCGCGCTGTCAGGGGTGGGTGGCCGACGTCATGCAGAAAGTGGCGCCACATGCGGTGGGGGCGTATTTGGGAGACTCGGATTTCCAGGCGAGGAAGACGAAATTCTGGGCGGATGATAATGCGCGCAGGCTGATGGAGCTGAGACGGCGGTTTGATCCCGCGGGGCGGATCTGTGGGTATCTGGATAAGGGGGATGCGTCGGGGGTACGGGGGTTGGTTATTGAGAATGAGGTGAAGCTGTAGGATGCCTTGGTTATAGACTTTGTTGTTTTCGTTTTCTTGATGTAGGGATAAATCCGTTGCAGGACTCTGTACAACCCTGAAGACTACTTACTACCTACACAGTACAATGTTTTGAATGCTTGCACAGAGCTAAAGTTTTAGCCGCAGCGCTAGTGGGATAAGATTATGGTCATAGCGCCTACAACCCAATCATTTAGAAGCTGAGCGTGACTAAGCGGCATCTTCCCCAGGTTTCCAGCCTTGGCAGGATAACCCAGAAGCCTGATTGATGATGTATTGAGGCACCATTTGAATGAGCCCCCCACATTCCGCTCCATCCTCGTCTCTTTTACTTAATGACACGGATGATGTATGTGAGAAAAAAGACCATAGCACAGCTTAAACGCGGGTCATGGCACATCAAGCTAGGCAGAAGAAAATCCCGGAGAACTAGTTTTCCGGCGCCAGCGAGCCAACAAGCCTGAGAGCGACTGATCGCCCGATCGACCGGGGAAGCAGTCTCCATTCTCTCCCGAAGAGCCCACCTCCTCGGGAGTAAGTACCACCTCGAACATCAGGACGAGGCATGAGAAAGAATCTTGAGCTGGTCTGATCGGGTTGTGGAGACGATCGGAAGCACTGGTGTGGCAAGACATCCGACAAGCAAGCCCTACCATGCGGTTATCCGTAGACGTCAACCTG